CAACGTTGCAAAATCAAACAGAGTCAGAGTTGCGCTGCTGTTAGCCAGTCAGAGGTGAAATGACTACAAATCAGGAAGTAAGACTCTAAATCAGAGATGTCAAACTCATTTTAGCTCAGGGGCCACATTGAGGAAAATCTAGTTCCAAGTGGGCCAGACCTTTAAATTAAAACCTGCTTTTCTCCCAGTCATTGAGGGCGCACCATCTGTAGCGAGGCTTACAACGCGGGACCATTGCACTCCGACCCTGTCCAGTGCTCCAACGAGTGTGGTGAAAATATCAGCTGCTGTTGTTGTATCCGTCATGGGCACCAGCTCAACAAACTCCTCGATGACGGTCAACGTGTCATCAACTCCGCAGATGAAAATCGCCAGTTGAGCAACATCTGTAATGTCCGTGCTTTCATCAATAGCAACTGAAAAAGCAATAAAGGACTTTACTTTTTCCTTCAATTGGCAGTCCAAATCCGCTGAAATATCAGAAATCCTGTCTGAAATTGTGTTTCTGGTCAGGCTGATATTTGCAAAAGCTTGGCGCTTTTCAGGGCACAAAATCTTCGCTGCCTTCATCATGCACGTTTTTACAAATTCCCCCTCACTAAGCGGTTTTGAAGTCACTGCAATTTCATTAGCAATCAGGTAGCTAGCTTTCACTACAGCATCACTGATATCTCGGCTGTGAAGAAACACAGACTGCTGTTTCTTCAGTCCGGCCAACAGTTCATTCACCTTCTCTCTTCTCCACGGTCCTTCAAATTTGTCATATTTTTCAGCATGAAGACTCATAATGGAGACGAAGATTATATTCTTTCAGCACTGCAACATGCTGTGAACACACCAAACACACAGCTTTTCCGTTCACTTCCATGAAAAAATAGGGGGATGTCCATTTTTCTTGGAACAACCTGCACTCTGTGTCCACTTTTCTCCTTTTTGACAGAGACATCTTGGGCTGAAGCACAAAATGTAGATGCCGGATTAGATATCAGGGGCAGAACAAAGTAGCTCGTCAGAACACCTGTTGCACTTGGTTAACGTACTTGCTCTGGCTGAGGATAAACGGCTTGCTTGCTTAACACAATGCCTATTACACCATCTAGTGAACGTATTGGGAACAGCAGGTGTTTTATTGAAAAATTAGAGTTTTTTTTCACTCTACATTGTAAAGTATGAAAATAAAGTTTATACAACCATCTCGCGGGCCGGACTCAACCTGTTTGCGGGCCGGATTCGGCCCGCGGGCTGTATGTTTGACACCCCTGCTCTAAATCCTGCTGTGTTCTGCTAACCTCTGCAGTGGTTTACTTCTAGTTCTTGAAACAGGGGCACCAGAGTTTTTTGTTTCTTTTTCCACAGAGATCAGCTCACAGGGCATTTGTTTGGAGATCACTGCAAATGTTTCTAAAGAATGGTCTTTAAATTCATATGGAAAACATCTGGACAGTGTCCACAGGGAAATCCAAAGAGGCGTTTGGACACATTAATTTATAAAATATGATAAGTATGTCACAATTTAAGAGGTTTGAACACAAACACACACAATAGGAAAAATAAAAGTACGTTGGCCTGAGAACGGTTTCCTAACAGTGGATATTCTGGTCAGATTGACCAGGAGCATTGCTGCATGCATGTTCACCCTGGACATGTGAATGCATTTTTAAACATTTGGTTCCTATCTGAACCTCTGGGAAAACTAATTATAGTGTTTTCTGGCACAACAAAAAGACATTGATCAGAAATAATGTAATTATCCACATGAACCATGTAGAGCAGAGTTGAGCTACACACACATAGCCCAGTATGCAGCCCTCATCATAGCCCTAACCCTCATTTTCCACATCTCACAGGCCAAACTGTTTGACATTAAATAGTCTGACCAAAGTCCACGGATAAATTCCAAACATGGGCAATTTCAATGTTTCAGGATAAGACTTCTAGTAGTTTTCTGTCGGTTTCCCAAGTCTCACTTTTTCTCTCTATGTGTGCAATTGACTCACATCGAGAGACCAGTAGCTCCACTTTATGTAGAGCTAGAGCTGGAAATTGCAGAACAATGAATCAAATACCTCTGAACTCTATTTACTACTAATGATATTTACCCAACAAACACAGATTTAACACTGAACATAAACCAAGAATGCTGAAACCATTGAAAGTGGTTGATCAATGCTCTCAAGAGGCCCGTTTCATTAGCAGACTAGTATGAGTACAGGTCTTTTAATGAGGGCTGTATTTCTTTCCTTTTGGATGTGTGCTGGATGTTTGGTGAAACCAAAATGCTTACAAGCAGAACTTGCTCTAAATGGAATGCAGCCGTGTGCATTTCCTCTTATGTCCAGTCCAAATGTCTCCTCTGAATTAGATCGGTTTCAGTTACTGATCAAGATAACAAAAGAGGATTGCAGTAAACAGCAGACACAAACTTCATGGAACAAAAAAACTGGAAGAAGTGGGAAATGTGGATTTGCAAATCTGTTATCACAATACTGATCAATAATATTATTATCGCCTGTTTTGCAACTCTAATTTCAACTCAAACACATCACTGAGTAATTCTGGACTTGGCTGTCTCGTGGGTCTCGTTCCACACTGATAAATATGTCCTACCAGTGGCGCCCCGCAGTTGTCCCAAACATTTTTATTAAACTGGAAAATTCATTTGTCCTGCAGCTCAGAATTTTCTCCTAACAGACTTTTCCTAAATGAAATCTACAACCTGCCTCTTGTCATTATCCCCACAAGCTGCCTTGAGGGCTTTCTTAATGTTCTCTTCCCAAGCGTCATCTTTGCGTTGAATTATTCCAAGGCTGTTGGGCTATTTCATCCTTTTACAAACATGTAATGGGGCTTGAATGCAAAAAAAAAAAAAAATAAATAAATAAAAATTAAAACACGTTTAAACTATTTCCATACGGCCGTTTTCTTACACAATGCAGTCCTTTACATCATGGAAC